AACAACTGATGAGATTGAAGCAAGCAATCGAAAAATACGGCCAGAACTGATCAACAGAAAAGGCAGCGCCTTCCTTCGCCGTCGCCAACGCTATACCACACACATCTTTGATGACTCGGCAAAAACTGGGAGAGCTTGGCATAGAAGTTTTGGTGTACATGGTGGGTATTACCTTGCATCATCGGACTGTCATTTGTTTCATTCATTGCAGAACTCCCTTAATGGAGTAAAGTTGGCTTCAATAGAAGCCTGTGAAAATTGCTTGTCGCAGTAACCGAGAAACCAGAAAAGTTTTACACTGATAGAATAATGTCTCTAGCGGAAGAATRGAAAAAATTGGACGACCAAAATGGTACATATTTGATTCATTGAAGTTCAAAAATATGAAAAGACTTCTTCGACTACCCAATATTAACAGTGTGCTAATATGAACTTGTATGGTTAGAAATCCAARGTTTGGTTATGGATAGGTACAGGTAACCTTAAAGCTTTGTAATAATTTATAGCGGTATTGCTTACAACYGAAACAAGAAAGTTATTACAAAGAACCGTTATGTGGAAAAATAGAACTATCTATCAAATGAATATTTGTACGAATRCAGTACTTTGTAGTATACCGAACTTCGAACTTAACCTGAAAATCGGTGATGTCCAATATATGAACCACTCTAAAGTACTAGATGCAAATTAGGATCCATCAATCTCCCATAAACAGTTCGTTCTCACCTTCATCCCTCACAAGCCGTGTGCGGGGATGAATATTGCAATACATACATATACATATCCATATATGGATAATTGTGTACTTGAAAAAACTAATTTATAAGATTTCCAGAAGATTTCAAATTCGAAATCCACCACATGTGGTAGAATCATTTAATTAAATGCAAATGGGAGCCTCGRTTGAAGSCWCAATTTGAAACCAAATTTTCCCACCAGAGCTTCCAGCAGCATCAGATTCACGTGCATGAGGAAAGCAATACATCATTCATATCCACACATACATACATACGTACATATGTATATACGATGGAGTATGCATGTTTACATTGCGGTACATGAGAATTGTTCCTTTCAATTTCGTTCATTCGTTTTATTCGTAATAAGCCTGCAAACACTAAGCCAGAACGAACACGCCCCAGCCAGCGAGCTGGCCCCGCCGCACATTACAGTAGCCACATCCACAAATGTAATTGACCACAAGTCCAACCAAACAGCCAATCAATCCATTAAAACAACACAAAAAGCTCAAATGTGCACATGCACATAAAAACAAGTCTTTATCATTAACGGTCAAGTAGATCCTCAAAGYCCGAATTTGAACCCACTCCCACCGCATCCCCACATTCATATCACAACAAATAGGTGCGTATGTAAATCAATACGTCTCCCTGCGGTGTGATAAACCCTATTCTGTTATTTGATTCCAAATGAATTCCCGGAATTTACATTCCGGCCAAGGCGCAACGTACGATCGGCACCGTACGAGTAGCTGCTGTGAATCAGCAACGATCCAACATTTAGCCAGGCATGGCAAATTAGGTAGCGGCATCACATCTCAATTGACTGGCAAAACACCAAGGATACAGGTGGACTCCTGCTTGCACGCCGACACACCCAGAAGCTGAAATAAGTACAGACATGTGTGGTTAGGTAAATATAAGGTGTTTTTAGAAGGAAATAGTGTTTCAAAGGAATAGCTTGATTTAAGTCCGTTAGACGACTACTTGTACATATTATGTCAAATCAATGATCTCTGCAGATAAACCAGCCGGTAYCGATTAGTTGAAAGCAAATATTCGGAGGGATATTTACTAGTGGSGTCAACATTGCTAAAAAAGAGGTGAAAAATTGGTCCGACACAACGGTTTGCTAGGGCGCAGACGCGATGCTCATATGCCCGAAATTCTATTAAAGTAGTAAATGCCATAAAATTTGACTTTTAATATGCAAAAAAGGTTAGTCACTTCATTATTTGCAATAAGTATCATATACCATAAAGAGCACCCTATACGAGCCAAACGTTTGAACGAGCTACACTTGCCTTACGAAGGCTTGCACACAGAGTGCACACAGAGTTCTCAAATCTGTGCCCAAATCCACCCGATCATCGAGAATTGCATAACACATACACTGACACAACTATCGAGTTGATCGCCAAAAAGCGCAGCTTGCCTTTTCATTGATTGTAATTATAAGCAGAACAGCTTCTGGTCTTTGTACATTTGCGTACGAGTTGCGAGTTGCAGGTTCCTTTAGCAAGAAAATCATACATACATACATATGTATATGTTGTCCCAAGCATCAATGATCTTTGAAGGCTGCTTTATGGCTGAGATCTTCAACGGCGCAGACCATAATGGCTCAAGCTCATTACGATCCAAAGGAGCCGGGGTGCAAAGTAAAATGCCTCAGCACAACTTTCTCAGGCTTTGCTCATGCTTTTCTGCATGTACTTGATGCAATTTTTGATTATGSCACACATATACATACATATGTATGTATGTATGTACCATACCTATGTTCACAGCTTTATGTGCGTGTGCATTTATTGCAAGATGCTTTTTTGTCTGCATTGATTTGCTGGCTCTTACCACGGTGGTGTGTAATAACTGCGGTTGCATTGATTATGATGGTGTTGTTATGACTGTCGAAGTGTTATTAGACGACTTAAGATTGACTTTCGCATTGCACTGTGTACGCCAACAACCGGACTTCACTTGCAGAGGCTGGAGGTAGGCGCAAAGCTTTGCGTAAAAATCAAAATATATTGGTGAGTGTGTAAAGAGAGAGCATTRTTGTTGCCAGTCAAATAGAAATGGTGTAACTTGATTTCTCGGTAGTAAGTACAATTTTAGATATTAGTCGGAACACACTTATACTCCAATCAGCACACAATGTTTCATGCAGAATATGTCCTGGAGGATTTAATTATATTAGTACACACTTTAAATACTCTATAAAGTGATGGAGTGCGGAGTTAGCAAACTCTATGCTTTTTACGCTAAAACCCCGCTTTAACTGAAATTAGCTCTAGACTCAAGCAATACAGACACATGTGGGACAGATCTTTCTTTATACACATATGTACCTTGTTTGACGTGGATAGGTTTATTCAGCCATTATTTAAGCAATCGGATGGAAGAAGTGCAGACAGGCGCGGCGATTATTTCGCCAGCTCGGCTATGAAGGGTAAATAAGCTTCAGCTAGCTTATTCAAGCAGGTAAACGAATTGCTTTGTTATATATTGTTTTGTTTTCAGACATTCGCATCGATCTATAGGTAAATACTTATAAAGGAACACATAATTAAATCCAGAAAATTAAGAAAACCACAAACAAGAAAAAAATTAATGTTATGATAATCAGAACTCCTGGACAAAAACACCGATCGTGTTCGATTTGGCGAAAATGTCTCAAATATGTACACACATGCATATATGTATGTTTGTGGGCAAATACACAATATGTACATGTGTATGGAAAGTACGTATGTATGTATGTTTGTGCATAAAGTCACGACACGCAAATGTATCCGGACGCAGAAGAAGCAGGTCAGATGCTGCACACATACTACATATGAACCCAAAAGCGCTGGTCTAATGTAGTATGTATGCATGCATGTGGTCGTCGCGATGCATATGTAAAATTCCGTGTCTAGACGCAAAAGAAACTAATTAGGGTTTAATGACCAAAAATTAACACATACATACATACTGATCCCGCTACAAATACAAAGATGCAAATCTGGCATCGCTACTGATGTTTGCGATGCCGAAGAGTATTTGTATTTGGATCATTCGTGACATATGRCATCGTCTATCGTTAAACATAAAATAAGGCAGAAAAGCTGATACAGGGAMGAGAACAAGGGAACAAATGATTAGTACCAACGCTTCAAACGATGTTATCCCGGCGATGCGACAAAGGATAGGCGTTACATCTGCTACATTGTTATACAGGTACATACATACATATGTACATATGTATGTACACGTCGGATAGGAACGCGATGATTTCTTACTTGCTCTCGAAGACCTCGTTTTTCCTGTAAAGTTTATAAAACATTTCGGTGCACCCAGTATTTAATATGATCCAATACAGGTATGTATTCAATTTTAACACTTTGAGTGCCGCGTGAGATCTTCCAATTCCTGGAAGGACCAAAAGGACCAATTCTTCTTCATTTTTCTAAATTTGCAAAAACTTTCAGAGATTTTTTTCTTTAATTCCGTGATTGTTAGTTTTTCTTTAGTTATCTCATTCATAGTTATAGATAAACGTTCTCTGGATAAACGTTCTCTGTTCAAAACAAGTATGAAAAGGATGGATGACTGAAACGTTTGCAACTCTGCTATATTGCATCAGCGACACCTGCAGTTAATATTACACACGAATTAGAACAAAGAAACACAGATGTCGCCGCCCACAGTCTTTAAACTTGGTCACATACTTTTAGGCATATTCGCACTAAAAATTATTATTAAAAAAAAATTATTGTATAAAAAAATTATTAAAAACAATTATTGTACGTTCTCTGCAATTTTGCATATCAGTGCGACAAACTTTTGAAAGGAACAAGAATCGCAACAAACTTTAAAAATAAATATAGAATCTGCAAAATATGCAATTATTAATATGTTAAGAAAGTTCTTTTATATTACAGCTACGCATTACAAACAAAAAAAATCATACATAAGTCGTAACGTTGATAACTTGACGAGTTAGTGGCCTACGTATTTGAAAGAGAAGAATTTCATGCTTTTGCTCACGCTTGCTTGTAAAGAAGCCGAAACAAGAGCTTTTGCTCTGCACAGCRAAACATCCACACACACACACTTGCCAACATGTAGCCGGATATGTTCTTACAAACCGGTAGGTAATCCAGAGAGTACTCAAAATACAACTGAAACTTTAGATTCGACTCCAATGCGGATTCGATCTTTGTCCTCAGGTGAGATACAGATAGCCACTTCGCGCATTCCACTTCAGATGCTCGGCGTAGCACGTCGGCTCCTCGCGGGAACTTATCCATTTCAGCGTTCAACTCTTAATTTCCGTTGTTTGTCTTGTGCTTAGAGTRTGTAAGCGAAGTGCCATGACTTGAACCCAGTTCAAGTATTGTTCCCGGTGCAAGCACACATGTCTTCATATCTATATATGTATATATCCTACACACAGAGACATAAGTGTGCGCGAACACGCAAGGTAACGCGATGTCTGTGATTTTAATCGCAAATTACTTAAAATGGATATTAAAACAAATATGAAGCGTATCGTGTCTTGAGAGCGTGTGTGGGTTTCTTAATTGTGGCTTCGGTTCGGCAAATAATGTACCTACTTAGCTTTGAAAAGTGAATTACAGAAGCACATCAAGCGTCTACATATGTGTGTGTGCCCGCGATAGTGTTGAAGTATTTATATATGTGCATGTGTATGTGTCTTTGATGTCAAGAAAAGTAAACGATGAGAAGAATAAAGAAAACGAGAGCACGGCGAGATCGATCAAACCGGTTCCCTATGGATTTCGGCTTAAGTCCCGAGTGTGTGAGTTTGACCGCAAGAAAAGCTTAACAACTATGCAATGAACCACCAATAGACTACGAAAAAACAAGAGAACCACATAAAAACACAATGCAAAACAAAGACCAAATAAACTGAATTTTCGGTCAGGACTAAATAAAAATATATAAAKTGTTGTGTACAAGTAATACTTACATACATATGTGCTTGAACATGGAATCATAATCATACTTGAAGTATATGGTGCCTTAGTAGTGCTGACAAAGCTTCAAAGCTGACTCTTACCAAACTTAACAGTTTGTGTGTGATCATCCACATTGTCGCGTTTTCGTTGCAAGTCATTTTGCCGCCAACACGGTAATTCGAGTTCCGCTTTCATCATACTTACCGTTCAATTAGCAGTCTTATGCACGTTATGTATGTACAGTTGGAAAATGAGTACGCTAGCTCTTGGCGATAGTGTTTGCTTTACTGAATGGAGGTAATTAAATGATGACATTCATTACCTGAGATAATTAAAAAAAAAAATTCAAGACATTTGTGTCCAACGGGAGATAATGTAAAAAGGGATCCAAAAAGAAAGTTTACGTCGAAAGGTGAGCTAAAATTATTTTGCCCTAAAACATACTTCAAGTAGACTAAATCGCAACCTCACCGTCTTTTATGTGAAAGTGCCCATCTCACAGACCGCTTGACGTCGTCTCGCTAAATTTTCTAATGTGAAAGAATAAGAGGTAGTATATACTTCTGCGGTGCAGGCACTTTAATCTCGTACTCTCTATCCAATTTCCTGGCAATCTGAAGAATTTCGGAAATGGTTAGGAAGACGCTTTTGATTTTAAACAGTGCTTTACCGTTGCATTACCGTTTCATTAAAGTTTTTAGCGCTGTATGTTTAATTTTGCAAAGGCTTAAAGCAGTGTTTCCGATAGCAAAATGTGGGTTAAGAGGATAGTTGACCGCATCTTAAAATAAATGGTTTGTTGGGTTGTACGAGCATAAGTGTGTTTGTTCACTTGAATGCGTACAGCATATGTTGCTTAGCAGTCAGTGCGCTAGCCAAACACTTCATTTGCGCAAACGCTCCACTCTTGCCCTTATCGAATACATACATACATACCCACTCCAACCTTACCAAATTTATTGGTAGTTCGCTTGTTTGATGTTAGTGACTCACTCCACAGTCAGCTTTTGTTAACACCGAGGCACGCTCAGAGCGCTCATATTGCGAGCGATAGTACCTTGCCAACAATTCACTGACTTCCCATTGGGAACAGCCGCCCCGCTTGGCAGTTAGTCGCTCCGAGCATTGGTGGTGAGTTCATTTCCAGARTGAACACCATTCAACAATCATGCAGTGAGCACACATGCCCGACTCGAACGGCTCATTGGACAATTCACTGCTTCAGCTGCTCACTTATTCAGTTGTTAATGAGACAGAACGCGAAACGGTCGTTATTCACGTACAACGGGCACATGCGAGCAGTTCCAAGCTCAGTACATCGTCAGAAGTGACAGCAAATAGAGTACGCAGTGGAGGGTCTTTGGCTTCGAAATCCAATAAAAGCGGGTTGATTACGAACGGTAACGGCGCAATTACATATGCAACACAAGCACTAAGCAATATTTGTGCAATACAAATGACACATAGTGAATAAGTTGTATGTGTGTGTGTGTGTATGTGTGTTAAGTTACTGAGTATTCGGTCCGTTTGTCGTACATGGCCGCGCATGAAACCGGCAGATGTGCGTATGAATGAAAGGTAGTAAAAGCACCAATAATAACAATAACAAAAACAAACGAGAACGAAAAACGGCAGTCAAGCGACGGCTTACCCAGGAACGTGATGAGTAACAGCAGCAACAGCAGCAACAGCTCGTGAGTTCATGAATTGCCGGTGAATGCAATTTTATTAAAAACAGAGGAAGAAATTCACGAACACACAGCAAACAAAAATAATATTAATCAAATCGACGGCGATCGCAGTGTCGGTTGTCATTGTTCAGTGCAGCTGCTTTGAGGCATTGACGCAACCGGTCGGAATGGAGCGAATTTTAGCAAGCGTTTGAGCTTTTGCGCACCACTCSGCCACTGCCGCCCCACCGCCTCCCGATAAGGGAGCAAAGAAAGAAAAAACAAACACTCCGGTGAATTATTGTTTCCATATACATAGAAAAGAATATTCATATACATATGTATGTATGTGCGTACGAAAAGTGCAAAATATGTAGAAAAAAGAAAATCGAGTTGTGTACTTACGTATGTGACTTTTATATAACATTTAAATATAATAAAAAGAAATCGCACTGTGTTTGCGCACACGCCATCGGCCGATGCAAATGCTTAATTTCCAAACAGATGTACGTGTGAATCATATACTTACATACATACATGTACATATATGCAATTACGCGAATGCATGCAGTGGGGACTTGATAAATCGAACATGCCATTGCTAAGCATGCGSTTTATTAGATTGAATTATCTGCAGTTATTTTGATTTGTATACGCACATCTGCAAGCCGTAAGTTTTGAAAACATCATATTTTATCATACGTCTGTCTGTCTGTATGACAAAGAATAATTTCTCATCGGGGTACAATCGTTTATCGAGTTTACTGTACTGTTTGTGTGTGTGTGTGTGTGTGTGAGTGACCGTGATCACGCGAAACGTGTCAGTTTAAGTATAATCGGTTGCGTTTGCAGTATCTTGTTATGATCATTTAAGTGCGAAAAAATTTACATAAATACATACATAGATGCATTGCCACGAAGTACTTGCTTACTTGTGCTTAAATAATTTGCTTTATAGCATTTAATCCACATTACCGGTTTCACTTTGCGGTTAAAAACGATTTGTGAAAGAAATAGGACAACACACTTGCACACATACGCACGTACGTATAAAATTACATACATACATACATATGTAGAAGTTTATACATATGTATACTTAATGAGTGATAAAGAGAAAACCAAGAACAGCATTTCAATTAAGCTAAGTGAAAAACATTGCATGCATTTTATCTAGTGCAGACACTTCTGAACCTACAAACATATACATACATATGTACATATTTATCAACAGTATTTGTATTGTCGTCCTTGAAGTGAAGTGCTTGCCATTGTGAGTACAGATCACCTGAAGAAGCGAATTGTCCGTGGAACAGTTTGTGCTTCCTCCAGCAAAAATAAAAAAAGCGATCTTCGATTTACTTACTTACGTACTAAGAATGTACGACTTCTGTCGCTTATCATACTAGCGAACGACCGCCCGTYCCGCCACACGCTGCACTTCAATACAACCTTACAAACATTCTGGTATCATCAACAGCGTTATCGTCAAGGTAAATAGATATGAGTGTTCTCGTACTATAAATAACCTTCACTCTCATAATATTTGTACATATCCACTGTAGGTTGAATATGTACACATAAATTCACGCAAACACATGTGTATATGAACATCTCCATGCTTTCCCGCGTTCAAAGAAAAGTATTGGTCAAAACATAGTGAACTGTAAGGCACCCTTACCTTGACAAAGCCGCGCATACAATGACATTTTGAATCCTATCAGATTCCTAATTTATAATAGATAGTTCAAGCCATAAGATATGGGGGCCGAAAGCGGCTTAATCCATTCCTAGCCCGAAACGATTCCCATATACATATGTAGGTATACCATGTACCCATATAATAAATCTCCAAAATAGAATGGTCATTTTGGTGATTTTTTGACCATATTTGACTCTGTACGCTTGGGTGGTTTCTACTTTTTACCTTTCTTCTCCTCGAAGCCAAAATCACCATGTGGAAGCTGAAAACYCCAACAACCACTTTTTTAACTTTGTTGTTTGGCAGCCGCATTATAGCCAACTTTAATTACTTAAAAAAGATTAACATTCACCTGCACATACACCACACATAAATATAACCATACACGCTATTTTCATACAATTTGATGTACTATACATACTTACGGATACGCTTACAATTACGGTAAGCATACATATACACACATGCATACCCTTAAGCACTTGGTGTGTGTGTGTTTATGATTGTTCGCCAAATTGACTTGGTTCGTCGGAATATTCCACACACACATACACAATTATATTACATACATACATACACTTCTATGTATATACTATTAAGCAAATTTTATTTTTTGAAGTTCCAACAACGAAATACATATACACATAAATATGTATGTACTTCAGCTTTTTTAATTACAACACCATGTATATATGTACATACATATACATATATGTTAAGTGCGTGACTACCAACTGAAGGGTCATGGGTCTTCAAAGTACATACAATTCTTTTTTACAGTTCTGGTCTGATTTCTTGAGATTTCTTGAGATTTCTGAAATAAAAGTCCAACATAGAAGCAAAAATATCCCCTTAGTTAATAATCACATTCGCAAAGCGTAGTCACAGGAGCAAGAAATATATATGTTTTTATGTATGCATGTACATATGTATGTATTATTTGCCTCATAAAATGCCTGCGATGTCCAACCTCAGCCCACAGCACAGCGGATGAGCTTATTGAGAACGTTGGCAAACAATGTCACCGTACGGTTATCAAAGGAACCCATCGGCAAGTTAGACACTGTCCAATACATACATACATATGCACACACACATGAATGTGCAATACATTCGTTCTTTTTCAAATTGAATGCATTTAAAATCTACAAGGAAATTTATGTGTACATATGTACTAATGTATATATTTTGTCAATTTATARTCAATAAAAATGTAGTAAAACAGGAATTTAGGAATCTCTTCGCTTTCAGTCACATACACACCACTGCATCCCTGCAAAACAATTGCGTAATTTCCAAGGAGAGTAGTCCCAAACCAGTATTTATTGTATATATCCGATACTATGATCTTAGTATCGAAGATACTAGAAATAAAGAGAAAAAAATCGAAGTATATTTATATTATATATAACGTGTTGCAAAGTAATATAACGATTTTGTTCTGATCCTAAACCTTAACGAGAGAGATATACATACCTTGTATGTACATATATCAAACTAGCTGACCCCGCAGACGTTGTCCTGCGKGAAATTATGTGTGTTTGAAATGAAAAGAAAGTTGAATTTATCATTTCATTTTTTTCAATGTAACGTTGCTTGATAAACCACATTTTCTTTTCCTCATGAAAAGTGTAAGATATTTTTATTTGTAAATCTTCCCCGATTCACAACGAATAACCTCTGAAAATTTGATCAAGATTGGTGCAGCCGTTCTCTTAGCGTTACTAACAAACAAACATCCGTTCGTTTGTATGGGAAAAGAAAATGGCTGTTTTTAGGTTTTTCCCGGAAATTATTCGAACTTTCCTTGCCGTAAAATCCATCCTTGAACCTCAACGGTCACATTAAAAAAAAAATTATCAAATTTTGTTCAGTCGTATGAAAGTTATGAGCGTACATACATTTTGGCGATTCGTTTTTATTTA